TGGCAACAGAAGTGAAGGTGCAAACCCTCACTGAGCTGTGAAGTTTATTTTTCCCCCAGTCTACCTCAAAATATTTTTGAGAAGATAACATGGGCTGGGGGAAAAAACCTGGTAAACCAAATCGAGCTCCTTGGAAAGTTGGGATTAAAATGTAACAAAATTAAACACACATACAATATTTTTTGTCACAATGTTGAAAGATGTACAGAAGGAAACAAATGAAAGTACAAATTTGCACAATATGTAACCATCCTATTTGCAGCAGCCTTGTTCCTATTAAAGCCAGTGACACTTACAGGCTGAATGCATTGTCCACATTGCTGCCATAAGGAATTGCACCAGCTGTCATAAAGTACTTTGTCTGGTGCCAAGAGAGTTTCATGCCAAAAATATTTAGACCTGGCATGAAACAGTTCCATACTAAGGTGAAGTAAGAACCAACATTGCATATACAGTACAAAGACTTTTCCAAAAGGCCTTCCTCGTAGTAAAAGGAACATCCCTTGATGGGAAGAAGGATGCAGATCAGATGGGGAATGAGTTTGGTGTAGTTGTCAAGAGTGCCAGACTAGGGGTACATTCACATAGCAGTATGTTCTAACTGTTTATATCTGTATTATACTGGAACTTTCACAGAATGTAAAAGCCATTTCTGGAAATAGAACAAAAGATAGTAGAAGTTTAATGCTCATTTCTGTGTTAATTGGTTATGAAAATAATTCATTTGCAACCCCATTAACCCAGATAATCATGGGTGTAAAGTGACAAAATGTTGGACAGTATACTGACATACTGTTCTTTCCATGCTGTTTTCATGGGTGACTGATGGTGGAGTGGACAGGTGGGGGAGAAGTGACAATGTTCAATGAAGTTTGTTGTTGTGTTGCAACATGATCCCTGGTGTGAATGAAATTTAGCACAACATTGGTCAAAAAGCCACATTTCCATAACACAACAGGTACTGCAATGTGAAATAAACAATAGAAGATGGGATAAGTGCTAGCATTGTAATCAGGAAAAGTAATGCAACATTCTGCATGTCTGAATGCACCCTAGGATTCAAACCTCCATTCACCCATAATGCCTTGGGTCAGTCATAATCTAACTTACATAATAGGATTGTTGGGGGGGGGGAATAGGAGGATGAGAGCCATGCAGGACAGCTTTAGCTCCTTGGAGTCAAGGTTGAATACAAATATAATCTACTGTATATTTTTGGGAAATGGTTGTTTGTCCATCTGTTCGCTGTGGGTTCGGGTGCCTCTCAAGCTATCATCACCAAACTACAGTGGTGCCCTGCAAGACGAATGCCTCGCAAGACGAAAAACTCGCTAGACGAAAGGGTTTTGCGTTTTTTGAGCTGCTTCGCAAGACGAATTTCCCTATGGGCTTGCTTCGCAAGACGAAAACGTCTTGCAAGTTTGTTTCCATTTTCTTAAAACCGTTACAGTAATACAGGGTGCATTGCTTGAAGAGGTGCAGTTGCGACTTGACTTCGAGGAGCAACTCATAGCACGCGGTGTGGTAGCCTGTTTTGAGGTTTTTGAAGACTTTGGTGATTTTTGAAGCTTTTCCAAAACTTCTTTTGCAGCCATTTGGTAAGTTAAACTTTTAAAACTTTTTGGGGGGTTTTGGATTTTGGGTTGGGGTGTTTGGAATTCAAGGACTTGGTGTTGGGGAGGGGTTTGCAAGAATCTGGAAGCTCGTGTGTTTTTTCACCTGCATATTTATGATTTTTGTGACCATTGGGCCACTCTGCTGTTTTTAAAAAAAATTCTGGGTTTGAATTTCTGTGTGGTGGGTGGCTGGGGGAACAGTTGAGGAGGGGTTTGCAAGAATCTGGAAGCTTGTGTGGTTTTTTCTGAATTTTTATGATTTTCTGTGACCATTGGGCCACTCTGCTGTTTTTTTAAAAATCTGGATTTGAATTTCTGTGTGGTGGGTGGCTGGGGGAACAGTTGAGGAAGGGGTTCTTCAGCAAGAAGCAAAGAGTGGAAGAGGAACCTTCTTCGAGTTGTCCCCCAGAGTCTTAGAAAATGTACTGTACACTTTGTTGATTTTTAAATGTTTTTCTGTCATGTTTAGAAACTTAATTTATTGTTCCTTCAATTTTTGAAATGCTCTTTACAGTATGTGTGACTTTAAAGAGCACTTAATAAACTCTTGTTGTACCAAATTTGGCTTTGTTTGGACTTTTTTGACCATAGGAACGCATTAATTGAATTTCAATGCATTCCTATGGGATTTCGTGCTTCGCAAGACGAAAAATTCGCTAGATGAAAAAACTCGCGGAACGAATTAATTTCGTCTTGCGAGGCACCACTGTAAATACAAACGTTCCTGATATAGAGGCAGTGGCTCTAGCCAAAGTTTGGATGCCGGCTGCCATTTTGAATCAAGGTACCAGACCAAAACATGATTTTGGCATGACTTTGACGTGGTTTTTTTGGCACAGGTTCAGCCGCCTCTCTAGATATCACCACAAAACTAAGCATGAGAGTTCCCAAGGTGGGAGTGGTAGTACTTGTCTATGTTTGGGTGCTAGGTGCCATTTTGAATCAAGATGGCAGACCTAATGTGACTTTGGCATGACTTTGCCCAAGTTTCTGTGTGATGAAATCAAACTCACAAATCACGTGATGCATTTGAAAACAACAATATTTGCTGGGTTTCGAAAAATTCTCAGGCAGCTGTGGGCTCTTCTTGCTAGTAATAAATTAAATAAACCTAAGTAATTGTCCCAGTTCATGTCATCACCTCACATGGAAGTGACCCACCCACAGTCCTGGTAGCCAGTTTGAAGGGTTGCAAACAATTGTCATACTATAAGGTTATATATACATTTGTTTATTTGTTTCATAAAATTTATACACTGCTTGATTGTAAAAAAACCTTCAAATTAGTTTACAAAATATCACTATTTGTTAAATACCAAATACTTGTATGTATCCATCCCATGCTAAATACCATACAAGCATGCCTTTTTAAACAAACTAAAAAGGGGAAATATAAAGAACCTCATATATACTTTACAGTGGAATTATTTTTCATTGCCTGGGATGGAGTAAGAGTTGTAATTGGTAGTGAATTAGCTTAGTTCAAAGACAAACAATATAATGATATGCAATCCTTTTGATTTGTAACTAATTTTAAAGTCCTCCTACCACTTTTTTTTTGTCCTTCCCAAGGACAAATGCTTACTGCATTTAATTTTTGAAACACACACACAAAATTTATGGTGCATATCCACAGCAAAAGGAGGAGGGAAAAACTACATCTGAATTATTTTCTTTGAATGTGTCAGCATGCCAGGGTTTCTTTATTCATCAAGGTTACAGCAATTATGCTTATAATCAAAGGGGAAGGCACACAACAGAGCAGTGTTGAATTATCATCACTTCAGACTTGATAAGGAGCACAAATATCACCTTAGTGCTATATCACTTAACATATTTTAAGTCTGGGTAGCTAAAAGGTTGTATCAGGAGTGTCAGCAATGACAGTGTCAGAACCTACAATGCTCAGGAATCATCCCTGGGCACAATCCTTCTTGCAGTGATTACATGAGACAAAGCGTGTTCTCCTTCATGGAGAGCACGTGTTGCGGTGGGGTCTGCTGAGCCACCCCTCTGTTACCAGGCAGGGTCTCTAAAGATGGCCTGGGGCAGTGATTGGTTCACTGGGTTGCTGGGGTAAAAGTTATGTTGCAATTTTGGTGGGAGGGTAAAATGTTTAAATACTCTGCACGCAGCCTGGAGCTTTCTCTTTGCTGCGTGCAACGGATCACCCGCCCACCCGCCCTTGAGTAAGGGGTTGTTGCATTGACCTTGCTATGCCTGTCATGGGGTCGTCTGCCGTTGGGGCAGGGGCCTGGTAGGAATTTTGTCCATCTGGCTGATTGGCTGGGCCATTTGGTTTTTGCCTACTGCGTAGCAAATCGTCACAACTTGTAAGGTTGTGGTTAGGCATTGGTTATAAATTGGTGGAGGAGGGGTTAGGATAGGCTGGGCCTGCCCCTCCATGGTTGCTGCGGAAAGGGAATTCCGTTAAAGGAATCCTGGGGCTTGCCATCTTTTCGTCCAATCCCTGGAATGGGACTAGGGCCGGCAAGCCTTCGGGGAGCATGCGGATGAGAATTGAGGGTCTGTGACTCAGCTCCATTTCTCTCCGACTTGCTTTCCCCGCACTGTCTTTCGTTGGTGCCCGTAAGTCAGTTTTGTCCCCAGGCGGGGGACAGATAGTCTTAACCAATGCCTAAACAACCACTCACGGTTTTGTATTTAAATAAAGTTGTGGCCAAAATTATGCCAAAAACCTTAAACAAAAATTAAGTGTGCGTTGTGAGTTATTTGGGGGGTGGCTTGGGGACCTCGACACACAAAGCACAATGTGGCTGTGTTAGGGTCTAGCTTGACCCTGTCCTTCTCAACTATGCCAGTGATCAGTCCCACTGAGAAGGAGGGCTGGAGAGAAATGGCCTCCATCAACCCACCACCTGGTTTTCTGGGAGTAAATTGGCAGAGTGTTATTTTGCCAGTTTTCAGGTGGTGGAATCAAAACGTAAATGAGCTGAGAGGAGGCTGAGGATTTAATGACTTTTAATTAAGTGCTATGAGGAGCAGTGGAGACTTTCTATATGACCCTTGTTCATGATATGGGGAAGTGAGGTACTTACTAAGCAACCAGGCGTGAGGGTGATCTTTGGTTGACTATTCAGTGCGCCCCCCTGTAACCACCAGCAGGAGTTTTCCTGGTGCTTGCTTCCCACCACTAGTCACATGCCCAGACAAGAGATGGAGATAAACAGGAATTCAGGTAAAAGCTTTGTTGGGAATCCAGGATCTCTGTACAGAGCATTTATTTCAAGGATGCGCCTCTACCACAGATGACTGTAGGAACATAGGAAGCTGCATTGTACTGAATCAGGCCATCGGTCTAGCTAGCTCAATATTACTCATATTGACTGACAGCGACTGGCAAAGGACATTCCCAATCTTAGCTGGAGATGCCCAGATTTGAATTTGCAGCCTTCTGCATGCAAACCAGATGCTCTACCATTGAGCTGCAGATCTTCCCTTATTTATTACAGCTGAATAAACTGTCCTAGGCTGACCTTTCCTGTATTCACCATACTGAGCAGTTGAGAAAGAAGGCCCTTCATTTTGAACACATGAGAATTTTCCTTCTAAAATTTATTTTACTTATGCCACAGAGAGATTAAAAACTCCAGCCTGCTTCTCTGTGCATCTATTTTTAGCTGTATCAGAGTGCTGATCTTTAAAGGCCTCTATTGTTTTGTTTTTGTAAGTCACATTTCGGGAGGGGTATTTTTGAAGGTGGACTATCAATGAAAAAAAGTAAAACTATAATAAGAACACAATATTACTAAACAGCCAGGAAAAAACTCACCCCAACACATCCCTTTTAAAAGAGGGATTAAATCATTTTTCCATTTGCATTATTTTGCCTATAGGCAGTGTTTGCATAGTACGTTCCAAAGGCTCAGGGAATTTGCAGTTTATATATTTTTGCATTGTAGTTTTACATTCAAAAGTGGGGTTGTAGCTTTAACCTCCTAGAAGCTGTATATTTTTTTTCACAGAAATGTTCATGTGCAGCTAACAGCAGCAATGATACAATTAAGAAAAACAAACCTAAATAAAACTGCAGTTAATCCATATTTTAAAAGATAAGAGACTAAAAAGACACACTCAGTGACTGGCTATGAAAAAAGGCCTTTTGCATTTAAATGGTTGTCTTGGTATCTATATGCCATCAAGAAGGGTATTAGCTGGATCTTCTGTAACAGGCAGTTCTATGGCATGAGAACGCAAGAATAGCCTGCTGGATCAGGCCAGTGGCTGGTCTAGTCCAACATCCTGTTCTCACAGTGGCCAACCAGATGCCTGCAGGAAACCTGCAAGCAGAACCTGAGCAGAAGAGCACGCTCCCCTCCTGAAGCTTTCAGCAACTGGTATTCAGAAATATTACCAAGAATGGAGGCAGGCCCATACGGAGCTTGTCCAAGGCCCAGGGCAGGAGTCATGTTAGAATAAAGTTATAAACTCATACAAAAAAGCAGCTGGTCCATGGTGGGGGCCCCGGCCACCTTAACCTTCCAAGGCCTGGGACAAGTGTACCTGGCTCCCTTGCCCCCCACCCGCGTCTGCATAGCCCTGCATGGAGACAAAAGCGTTGCATGGCTAGTAGCAGGACTGGGGGATCTGAAGCCCTCCAGATGTTCCTGGACTACACTGGCTATGATTGGACTTGAAGCCTATCAAGTTCCTAACTCCTGGTCCTATAAGTGAAGCTGGATAGCTCAGTTGGTAGAGCATGAGATTCTTAATCCCAGAGTCATGGGTTCGAGGCCCAGGTTGGGTGAAAGATTCCTGCATTTTAGTGGGTTGAACTAGATGATCCTCATGGCCTCTTCCAACTCTACAGTTCTATTATTCCCTCATGTGGCTGTTGCAATATATGGAATCTGGTCATTCCAGTGCAGATCCAGTTAATACCACTAATTGGCTCTCCTAATAAAAGAGCTATATAATATGTATCAAACTAAATAGAAGGTCCTTTGTCACTCAGCAGCCTCAGAGTAAGTGTTTGCCCCTTCCTGCACAGCACCAACAACATAACCTAACAGTCACTAGCTCCGGCATGCAAAGGAGCTGCTGGGACAGCTTCCTTTTGTGACAGCCCAACACCGCCAGCTGCAGCTCCACCCCTGGGTTAATCTAACCTGGGGGCCGAGTGAGACTGTGGCACACAAGGTCACAATTCCGTCACTGGGTGTGACCAAGGTGCACTTTGCAAGGCAAGCCACAGTGGGCTCCCTCCACATCCAACATGGCCCGTGTTCCTGTCCCGGGTGGCATTGGTTTACACTACACCACTGCCACAGGGCAATATCTTCCATGATGACATGGGCTGGCAGGCAAGAATGTGCGAGGAGAGACTTTTCAACCTTGTCCATGCAGAGTTTTGATCCCTGCATTCCTTAAAACCCACGATGACCAGAAAGGTAGAAACTACTCTTCTTTGAGAATCCTTTCTTTAAAACATTAAGTGTTGCATGCTGTAGAGTTAAATGCTCCTAAACTGGTTGCTTTGCTGCATTTTGTTTTTCCTGGAATTAACCTCGTTGTGCACTTCTGCAGAGTAAATGGCTCTGTGGTGATTTATTTATCTGCATAGGCTAGTGAGAAAGGTTTAAAGGGCATTGCCAGCATTAGAAGGAAGGTTAACCCCATGAAGAATCCACCAAGGTTAGTTGCAGGTCATCAGCATAGATTCACAAGTTCAGCAGCTGCAATCCCATAGAGATTCCTTCAATGTGTTTGTTCTGCCCTATTAACTGAGGACAGAATTATCTGGCAGCAAAGAACAGAAGGCATCCCTGCTAAGCATCACTATGCAAATGACTGTTAACCATTGGTGGCCTCATGCTACCTTTGATGAAGACAAAAATGGTGATTAGCTAGCTCAGATAGCTCTTGAAAAGCTTGTATGGGTTTCCTTGTGTTGGTTTATTTTAGTGTATATATGAACATAATCTCACTGCTCACACTACAGCCTCCTGGTTGGTTTTTCTCTCTTGTGATTTGAAAAGAATATGCAGAAAATAAGCTGACAGCAAAAACAACTACAGCACAATCTTGTGTATGCCTACTCAGAGAAAAAGTCCAATTGAGTACAGTAGGGCTTACTGCCACATAAGTAGGAATAAGATTGTACTTTAAATGACAAAACTTGTTTTAAAAGTATTTTAGGAGATTTTCTCTACGTCTTCAGGCTTGCTTCCCTTCTTTCACTTTCTATGTCTGTCTGTTGTCCTTTCTTGCATTTTAGCAAAAAAGGAATTGAAACATTTGTTTGTCTCTTCAAAAAACCAAAAACGTTCAATTATCATGGATATATCACACAGTGTAATTGCTGCTTAATAACTTTTCAAGTCATTGATACTTCCTTAATGGCACTTTGTGAAATCATGGGGCACATGATTAAAAGCTGTAGGCCATAAACACACAATCTGATCATACAATCCTATATGTGGAGCAACATCCCCATGGGCATTTCGCTACGCAAAGGGCTTTATCTTTCTAATTCTGACATTAATAGCAAAAGATCATATTAGGCTTCAATACTGTAGAACACAAACTAATTTGTGAGCATTCAGTGTTGGCCCTAACATTGCAGATAATGTGGTTGTAAAGACACATACCTTTAAAAGACATGAAAAGTAATAAGGAATTATGGTTAAAAATATATGTCACCCATATGAAACTTCAAGTAAATCCAATCCCTTGTTGGTAGTGACAAAATAGAACTTGGACAAATGTGTCCAAGCATTTTCTCTCAGACTCTAATCAGCTTAAATAAGATTACAATAATGGTTGGTTACCACGGCTGTTGATAACTGGAGTCACTTCCACTGCACACCTCAGAGTTGGACAGAGTTGTTTAATAACTATCAGAGTTGTTGACATACTTCAGGGGAGACTTATAGTAGTGCTTAATTTAACCACAAATAGAAGTTGCTTCTAAGGCAAGGTCTACATCTTCCATCATATTGTCATGCCTCCAGTGAATTAGAGAGAAGCTGCTCTACCCAATGCAAGATCTCTCTCAGTTGACATTTTAACACTAAAGATAGGGCCTATTCTATCTTTTGATCAACTCATCATCCATAGTAGCTGACTTGGTGTGCTTAACAGGCAGCAGGGCTGTGCTACTAACCATTCGTCCAAGGTCCCAAAGTTTATCCCATTCCTGCCCTGAATGGCCACATGTAGGCATGAACACCCACAAGGGAAAAGCTTATATTTGTATACTTCTAAATGCCTGGTGCTTATCCGGGAGCTGTAATCTACAGATAGGCCCTGTGCTCATCATGTAGACATCAGTGAGTGGGGTGAGAAACCTTACAAGAAACTAGTCATATCAAGCTTTTCAGTTTACTTAACTTTCAGGATCCAAAGTGAGTCTTATTACATTCACACATGATTCAGAAACAGAACACCAAAATGTATAAGCATGAAATACTCCAATCTATACAAGTACAGTGGTACCTCGGGTTAAGAACTTAATTTGTTCTGGAGGTCTGTTCTTAACCTGAAACTGTTCTTAACCTGAAGCACCACTTTAGCTAATGGGGCCTCCTGCTGCCGCCGTGCTGCCGGAGCACGATTTCTGTTCTCACCCTGAACCAAAGTTCTTAACCCAAGGTAATATTTCTGGGTTAGAGAAGTCTGTAACCTGAAGCGTATGTAACCTGAAGCGTATGTAACCCGAGGTACCACTGTATTTCATTACTTATGCTGATAATGAAACTTCTAGAGCCAAGAATGTCTTAATGTCCAACGACACACAAAGAAGGACCATAACTGGACATTTTCAGCTAAGCAATAGCTATTAACCCCACTATTATTATTTTTCAGATTCAAGGTTCCTGGCCCCACTGCACCGACTGCCAGTTAGTTCCCAAGCCCAATTTAAAGTGCTATAATGCCTTAAACAACTCAAGACCACAATGACTCAAGGACCGCTTCTCCCCACATGAACTGACCTAGACCTTCTTAATGTGCCCCATCCTGAAAAGTCTAGAAGGTGGCAACATGAGAACAGACTTAAACAGTCATTCTGTTTCAGCCAAGAGTGAAATTTTTTAAAATTATTATTCCAGAACACCATTTCTGGGAAAACCCATTTGTGAAATGTCCCAGTTTTCAGGAAGCAACTACATTTAGCTATTCACTACACTTTCTTATCCGTATTTTCTCCTTTACTCTGGGATGCAGCCCAGCACACACATAAAAAACAAAACAAATGCCAAAGAAGTTTTACTATAAATCTGTATGTTTGATACCCAGTTGCTGATGCTTAAAACTATAATTTCCACAAAACTTTTATTTACGTAATCTGAAGAGAGAAGAAAATGGCATAAATCATTTTTTAAAATGCATTTACTGATATTTCCCCTGCTCCCCAGTGAAATTTCCTCCTAAAAGCCTTAGTGTGTTACAAGCAAATTACAGACTTCTAACTATGGGGCAGTGCTCTCTGTTAGTCACTAGCCCACTTCTAGGAACTGCCTGCAATTAAAGTGAAGAGGAACAACAGTGGAAGCAAAGAGGAGTTCTGGAAGCAAAGGAAGTGCACCTTCAGACACACATATACCACACATGCACCAATATATTGACGAATAATATGAACTTTTAAAAAAAGAGTGTTTTCTTTCACTCAGCTGGTCAGTTTAGATGACATTGTGATGACTAATGGAATTGGGAGACTGGACCAGGTGTTGCAGGGAAATTACAGGAAAAATCCTGTCTGTGTCTAAGCACATGCTAAGCAACCTTCTCTTACATGCGTACAGTAGAATTATGCAGGACATGAGGAAGGCATTCTCTACTGACTTGCAGTGTTGCTATGTTTTACTCTTTCTGCACATGTATGCAAATTACTACTCCATATTCAGAACATCAGCAGTGGTTCATGGAGGGAAGATGCAGTTGTGTCCTCTCAGTGGGGGTGCTGCTGCATCCATTAGGGTGGGGTGAGGAGATGAGGGTGAGGAGATGGAATAGGAGGCCCATAATTCTATGCACACCTCTGGGGCTCCCCCACCAAACCGGAGGCTCTACTGAACTTACTGTCATTGTCGTGTCTCAACCCATTCCTGTCCCAAAAGTGCAGCAACACCAGAAAGTTGTTGTTGTCTTCACCTCCTCTTTCATAAACCCATACCTTCCAAAATCTTGCTGATCAAAATTGGGGTGCTTGTTTTTTGTTCCTGAGCTCTCGCGGGAATCTGGTGACTCTCATGAGAGTGTGAGACCCAAACCAAGAATCTTTTGGTCTGGCATGAGCCAGCTGACTTGTGCCAGAGCACCAGACCAAAAAATGAGGCATTCTGGGATCCAGTCAGAAGCCAGGACAGCTTCTGTAATTCTGGGATGTCCCACTCAAATCGGGACAGTTGAGAGATCTGTGAGCCTCTACTGAAGAACGGTTGTACACTTAAAGATAAGAAAGACCTACAATGGCTGTCAGTATGTTTTTGAGCACAATTCAAAGTGTTGGTGCTGACCTTTAAAGTCCTAAACGGCCTAGGTCCAGTATATCTGAAGGAGCGTCTCCACCCCCATCGTTCTACCTGGACACTGAGGTCCAGCACCGAGGACCTTCTGGCAGTTCCCTTACTGCAAGAAGTCAAGTTACAGGGAACCAGGCAGAGGGCCTTCTCGGTAGTGGCGCCCACCCTGTGGAATGCCCTCCCACCAGATGTCAAAGAGAACAACAACTACCAGACTTTTAGAAGACATCTGAAGGCAGCCCTGTTTAAGGAAGTTTTTAATGTTTGGTGCATTACTGTATTT